TCTTGGAGCCAGCATCGCCCTGCAGCTTCCACCAGAGCCCTCCGGAGCCTGGTTCCGAGCTGGAGAAACCAATCTCGATCCAGCAAGGCAGACAGAGTGCAAGGGCTTTGACCTTGGCCTTGTAAAAGCCCCGATTGTAGAGTTATAGATGCTCTGCCACTTCTCCTTGACCTGCCTTCTCTCATGGGGACCCAGTTCTACTCAACAGCAGAGATCTGCACAGAGCCAGGGCTTTCTCCCAGTTGGGAAACTACTTTTCGATTTCCAGAGTGTGTGAGGGAGAAGCCGAGGGGTGAAATTGAGCTGGGTGGGGGAGGGAAGGACAGAAGTTGTTCAAAGGAAGCAGAACGAGAACAATTAAAATGTGAGCCAGGCACCGGTGGCTCATGCCTGTAATGTCAGCAGTTTTAGGAGGCTGAGGCAGGAGGACTGCTTGAGCCCAGGGGATGGAGATCAGCCTGGGCAAATAGTGAGACCTGGACTCTGCAAAAAATCAGTCAGGCATGGTGGCGTGCACCTGTAGTCTCAGCTACTAGGAAGGCTGAGATGAACTGGGGAGACTGAGATGAAAGGATCACCTGAGCCTAGGAGGTAGAGGCTGCAGTGAGCCATGATTGTGCCACTGCACTCCAACATGGGTGACAGAGATCCCAACTCAAAAAAAAACAAAATAAAGATCTTGTATTTTTGCACTTCCTTAAATTCATGTGGGCAAAGCACCAATTTCTGAAAACAAGCCTTCCTTTGTTGGCCAAATTCTAGAAATGACTTTAATGATTTTTTGAGTTGGAGTCTCACTCTGTCACTCCAGCTGGAGTGCAGTGGCATGCTCAGCCATCGCAGCTCTGACCTGCTAGGCTCAGGGGATCCTTCTGCCTCAGCCTCTCAAGTAGCTGGAACTACTGGTGTGCGCCACCACGCCCAGCTAATTTTTTTATTTATTGTAGAAACAAGGTCTTGCCAAATTGTCCAGGGTGGTCTCAAACTCCTGGGCTCAGGCAGTCCTCTGTCTCCACCTCCCCAAATGCTAGGATTACAGATATGAACCACCATGCCTGGAGACTTTTGACTTCCCCAGTTTTACAGACTTCCACTTTTGGCCTAAAATATCTAAAAATACAAAGGAAAATGAGAGATCAAAAGCAGCTCGATAATAAGATAATTAAAACTGACTTGGGATACATTTTCCTCCCTTCTTTTCTTGAATTGGGTAATAATATCACTACTTTGTTGTTTATTTATCTTTGAAAGCAGGATTTATTGAGAGGACAGAAAAGCTCCCAGAATGGGAGGGGACCTAAGCGTGTTATACTGTTATTTTTTTTTAAGCCAGAGTTTTACTCTGGCCCAGGCTGGAATGCAATGGCAAAACCATGGCTACAACGGCCTCAACCTTCTGAGCTCAGGCAATCCTTCTGCCTAAACCTTCCACTTCCAGTACAGGTGTGGATTAATTTTACAGGTGTGAGCCACCATACCTGGCCTCTAACATCTCTACTTTGGATTATGTTCCCTACCAAAAAAACAAACATTATTTAAGTTTTAAAAAAGGAAGCTTGGTACTAGTATTAATAGCAGAACAAGAACAATTAATAGTTTGGCGCCAGGCGCAGTGGCTCACGGCTGTAAACCCAGCACTCTGGGAGGCGGAGACAAGGGGACTGCCTGAGCCCAGGGGTTCAAGACCAGCTGGGGCAACTTAGTGAGACCTCAATCTCTACAATAAGAAAAAAAAAAAAACTAGCGGGGTGTGGTGGTGCACAAGTTGTGGTTTCAGATACTTGGAAGACTGAGGTGGATCACCTGAACCCCGCAGGTGGAGGCTGTGGCGGCTGGGGAGTGTGCCACCACACTCCAGCCTGGGTGACAAGAGTGAGACTCTGACTCAAAAAAAAAAAAAAAAACAACTAATAGCTTGGTATTAACATTCTTTAAAACATACAAGGAGTTTGGTTTTATTAATTTTTTTGAGTTGGGGGGGTCTCACTCTGTCGTCGTCTAGGCTAGAGTGCAGTGGCATAATCAGGGTACACTACAGCCTCAACTTCCTGGGCTCATTCTTCCTCTGCAGCCTCCTGAGTATCTGGGACTACAGGCACGAGCCACCACACTTGGCTAATTTTTATTTTTTGTGGCAACGAGGTCTTGTTATGTTGTCCAGGTTGATCTCAGACTCCTGGCCTCAAGAAATCCTCCTGCCTTGGCCTCCTAAAGTGCTGGGAGTACAGGTGAGAGCCACCATGCCATGCCAGGTATTTAAAAAAACTCAAACTGCCTTCCTCATCTACCAGAAGTAAGGCTTAAGACAAGCAATTTACCACTCCCAATTAAGTGAATACATCTTGTCTCCAATTTATGCATGCTGTGTTCTAAAGTTCAAGAACTGGAAATTAGAATGTGCTTTCCACAAAAACAGTAGCATAAATGGTGGATCCAGTGTGCCAGATGGGTCAACACTATAAGGACCTTTCAATAAAAGGTCTTCGTATATTTCAGTAATACTCTATAACACCTCTATTAGCAAAGAGGATGCATTCTAATACTTACTCCAATACTGTATCAGACATAGAAATTACATAGAAAATAAAGGGCTGTATTACCAAATCTCAAACAAGAGAGCTACTGATTAAAACAAACAAAAGACACAATCTTAAGATGTCTCATATACAGAAGACATACATGGCCACCTTCAGGCTAAGACTGACGGAAGTCACCACACAGCGCATGCAAGAGCAGGTCTGCCTGATGGAGAGGGGTCCAGGCAGAGCAGGTCCTGAGTGGTGAGGATCCGCTGCTCTGCCTCCTAAGTCCCAGTCTCCCTTGGCTTTAGCCAAGCAGTCAGGGGCCAGGTTTGGGGATGGGCTACGCCCCCAGCATTTCTGAGGCCCTTCTCATGGCACCCCTCCTCCCAAACTCTTGTCCGTTTTGCAGATGGCAAAAGTGGCTTTAGCTCCTTCCTGTCACTTAGACATGAAATGCAAAAGTCGACTTCAGCCAGTAGACAGCATGTGGTCTTTGGCTAAATGTGCACTATACGAGTGGGAAAGCTAAGTAAGGGAAAGAATACAGACGTCAGCAGGCTCTGGCTCTGGCTCAGCGGGCCTTGACATGGAAACAAAGATGAAAGTATTGTTAATTCAGTAGCGGGCTGTGGTTCATATATGTTTGTGCTTTGCCACACACTTGGCTTGTCCTTGCAAAAGGTCAAGGAATCCAACACCCTATTCTGGGAAAACAAGTAGGCAACACTGGTAGGAGGAAGTAGGAAGTTTCTTCCTGCTCTCCTAAGCCACTGGGTTGTCATGAAGAAAACCTCAAATCAAGCAGTTAAGTGTTGGCTTGCTTCTGCTCCATCTACAAACGCCCAGGGCCTTCATGCCACCCTTAGTCACCTAGCGCGACCCAGTGCCCTCAAGTGCCCTGTGCCTTAAAACTCACTGTGCTTTCCTTTCTCATGTCTACTCCCATCAAAACTTCCTGTCTGCCAGCTGTGGTGGCTCATGCCTATAATTTCAACTGGTTGAGAGACTGAGGCGAGAGGATCACTTGAGCCCAGGCAGCATAGGGAGACCTTGTCTCTACATTTCTTTTAAAAAATTAGCTGGGCATGGTATTCACACCTGTGGTCCCCGCTACTCAGGAGGCTGAGGCGGGAGGAATGCTTGAGCTCAGGAGACCAAGGCTGCTATGCGCTTAGGTCATGCCACTGCACTCCAGCCTGGGAGACACAGCAAGACATCATCTCTTAAAAACCAAACCAAACCAAAAAACCATGTCCTTTCAGAGAAGGGGGTGTGGGACTCAGTAGCAGAATCTTAGAACAATGAATAGTAAGGTAACCTTGTCAGTGGTCAGGTTGTGGACATCCCTCTCACAGATCTATATTTTAAGATGCGAAGCCTCAGCCCACAGCAATAAACACATCAAAGTCAGGAGTCTCTAATATATCATTTATCTTTTTTTCCAATAAGGTAAAATATCCTAAAGCACAAAATGTAGGTAATTATTCCCAGCCAACCTGAAATCAATAAAGTGTTCTACATAGATGTTTAAAAAAAAAAAAAGATACGGCTGGGCGCAGTGGCTCACATCTATAATCCCAGCACTTTGGGAGGCCAAGGTGAAAGGACCAGTTTGGGCAACTTGGCAAGACCTCATCTCTACAATAAATCAAAAACTAGCCAGGCATGGGGGCATGTGCCTGTGATTTCAGTTACTTGGAAGGCTGAGGTTGAAGGATTGCCTGAGCCCAAGCAGGTCAAGGTTGCGGTAGCCGTGAGCATGTCACTGCACTCCAGCCTGGGTGACAGAGTGAGACTCTGACTCAAAAAAAAAACAAACAAAAAAAACGATACAAAGCTTAATATTGCAAATAAACCTTACCAGGTAGGATTTTAGGCAAAATAGAAAGCAAAAAATAAAAACCAGGTCGTAGCCTGGGCAACTTGGTGAGTCCTCGTCTCTACAATAAATCATAACTTAGCTGAGTGTCTGATTCTGTCTACTTGAAAGGCTGAGGCAGAAGGATTGCCAGAGTCCAGCAGGTTGAGGTTTCAGTGGTCAAGAGGTATGCCACTGCCCTCCAGCCTGGGTGACAGAATGAGACTCCAACTCAAAAACAAAACAAAACAAAACAAAACAAAAAACCGGGTTATAATAGCTAGATGCTGGGAGACGAAGTTGACTTTCCAGGAAGCTCATTTTCAGAGTGTGAACACAGCTCCTTGGAGTCCTTTCTGCTTTCCACAGCTTTCTCCCTTACCTAATGCCAGAAATTTTCTGAAAATATCAATGGTTGTGAAATCCCTCCTCACTCACCCACCCAATGAGAAAAGAGTTTTGGGAGGTGCGGATATTTTAGGAGAAAATGATGCACCAGGGTGTAATGTCTCAAGAGGCTTACTTTAAACTTAATATTAGTATATTATTATCCATAACAATATATAGTAAATTGTCATGTTATTAAAAATATACAATAAAATCTTATAAGAAACTCTAAATGGACTGAAGTTTGATAATTCTCTTAAGTAAACAGATTATGATAAAACCGTAGTTGTTGGCTAAGTTCCATCAATTTTTTTTAATTTTCTTTGCTTTTTCCTCCAGGTCTTCTGTTGTCTTTTCTGCAGGTCGCTTCTTCAACCCCTTCATTTTCCTGGTCTGTAGTTTGCTTAGATCCTGCTTCTGCATGTGAATCCTTCCATAAGTTGTGCCAAAAGTATCATGGGAGATGTTTTTCTTCTTCTTTGACTATGGAAAAAGAGGAGATGTATATTTAAAAGCCTTCTACTTGAATGAGCCAGTACAAATACAGTCTACAACTGTCTTAGTAACAATTTCCATTAGTGATACACCCTCAATGACAGAGGGCCCCGTACGCATTTTTTCTCAGACTTAAGTGTGCAGGCAAATCACGTGAGGGTCTTGCTGAAACACAGATTCTAATTCAGTAGGTCTAGGACGGGGCCTGATCTTCTGCATTTCTAACAATTTCCAGGTAATTTATCTTTGAGAAGCAGGAGTATAGACTACACTAACCACATACATCAAGAGGATTTCCTGTGTTCAGCTCAAAGAATTGTGACTATCATTTTAATCTCTACTGGCATTCCAGAGATAACATTTCTACTTGTTTTTCACAACTAATTAAGAAGTAAACACACATTTTGTGCACATACAGTTTGCCCTGCACTCTAAACCCCGCATTTCAATGCCCAGTTCTCCCTTTTGCTGATCACGGCAGTGATGGCCCCCAGCCAGCTCCCGGCCAGCCACTGCCTGGCTCCAAAGCCCTCTCTGGTCATCCCCGTGGCTGGCTTACTCGGTTCTTCCTCCTTTTCTTGGCTCTGGAAGGCTTCATTATATCTATTTGATCTCTGTATGCAAGTCCTTTAATATAATACGCCATAGATGCTTTTTGTAAATATGAGTAGAATATGCAAATAAGCACAGCACAAGGCTACAAGTCACATACCTTGAGAGCCTTTGGCACTTTCATAGATAATTTATAAAGGTCATCGGATGCCAGGTGTGTCCGCCTCAGGACCAGATCCAGGGCAGGGCCTATCTCCTCCAGCTCAATCCGGGGCGTCCTACAGCCAGACTTCTTCAGCAGCAGCCTTCAAGAAGTAAGAAGAAAGGCTATTTTGACTCTCATAAAAGTTCTCCTCCAAAACACATTTTTGTTCAAGAGAATCACAGTTCCATAAAATGGCACCAAATGTTTAAAAAGGCTAATAAGTTACTTTGAATTTTTTTTTTTTTTTTTGAGTTGGAGTCTCACTCTGTCGTCTAGACCGGAGTGCAGTGGCCGCTCCTGGCCACCACAGCCTCGACCTGCTGGGCTCCGGCGATCCTTCCGCCTCAGCCTTCCCAGTAGCCAGAATTACAGGCATGTGCTACCACGCCCAGCTGATTTTTTGATTTATTGATGAGATGAGGTCTCACTGCCCAGGTGGGTCTCGAACCCGCAGGCTCAGGCAATCCACTCACCTCAGCCACCCAGGCGCAGGATTACAGGCTGAGCCAACAAGCCCGGCTTACTTTGAATATTTTATTGATTTAGGCCCAGTGTATCCTTTGGCAAATTTGTTTGTATAAATTTTTTTCCTTTTTTGAGTTAAAGGGTCACATAAACATTAAACCATTTTTTAAATGAATTTTTTTTTTCCGAGTTAAAGGGTCACATAAACATCAAACCAACTTTAAAAACTTTTTTTTTTCCTTTTTGAGTTGAAGGGCAGTTTGTTTCTTTTAAAAGATCAGAAATAAAATTAAACAATATTGTTGAGAAACATCAAGTGAGACAGAAAATGGGGTCAGGCTCAGTGGCTCACGCCTGTAATTCCAGTATTTGAGAGGCTGAGGTGGGAGGATTGCTTGAGCCCAGGAGTTTGAGACCAGCCTAGGCACCATTGCAAGACCTCATCTCTACAATTTTCAAAAAATTTAGCCAGGCATGGTGGTGCCCTGTAGCTCCAGTTATCTAGCAGGACTACTCCAGGTACTGGGGCCAGAGAACCACTTGGGCCCAGGAGGTCAAGGCTGCAGTGAGCTGTGATTATACCATGCACTCCAGCCTGGGTGGCAGAGTGAGATCCTGACTCAAAAAAAAGAAAAGAAATGGAATTTCTTTTTTTTTGATCTGACTTCTTCATCTCACTTATAGATTTACATAAGCATAAAAATAATTTCAAGCCGGGCTCAGTGGCTCAGCCTGTAATCCCGCGCCTTTGGGAGGCTGAGGTGAGTGAATTGCCTGAGCCCGCGGGTTCGAGACCCGCCTGGGCAACTTGGCGAGACCTCATCTCTACAATAAATCAAAAAATGAGCTGGGTGTGGTAGCGTGCGCCTTGTAGTTCCAGCTACTTGGAAGGCTGAGGTGGAAGGATCACTGGAGCCCAGCAGGTCAAGGCTGCGGTGGCCGGGAACAGCCACTGCACTCCAGTCTAGGTGGCAGAGTGAGACTCCAACACACACACACACACACACACACACACAAATTTCAACTGGGTCTTGAATCAGTATATTTACATGATTAGGTTCTTATCTTGACTCCATGTCTTAAAGACTATAGGAGCTAAATCTATCCATTCAGAACCAACTTTTCCTCATAGCACAGACTTTTACTGCTTTCCTCAGACTGACGTGAACCTTAAACTCTTAAAATAACAAGGCCGAGCGTGGTGGCTCATGCCTATAATCCCAGCATTTTAGGAAGCAAGGCAAGAGAACTGCCTGAGTCCAGGGGTTTGAGATCAGCCTGGGCAACTTGGCAAGACCTCATCTCTAAATAAAAAAGTAGCCAGGCATGGCAGTGAGTGTCTGTGGCTCCAGCTACTTGGAAGGCTGAGGCAGAAGGATCACCTGAGCCCAGCAGGTTGAGGCTGTGGTAGCCATGACCACAGCACCACACTCCAGCTTGGGAAACGGAGTGAGACTCTGACTAAAAAATGAATAAATAAATAAAAATAAAAAATCTTAAAATAGCAAAATCACAACTTTCTGTATACTCCATGTCTAAATAGCAGACTTGGAAACATAAGTGGGGAGATAAGTAGAATGAGGAGGGGGAAACTTGCAAATTCCCACTGTGAGTATACCATAAGAATAGCTGAGAGACCTGAGGATTACTTTCAATTTGTTACAATAGCCAGGTCTCCCTAGGGAAAAAGAGGGCTGACAATGTTTATAAAGGACAAGCCTTCTCACAGGAAAGCTGGAGTGCCAGAGGCAGCCAGAGGCAACCAGTGGCGGAGAAGAGAAAGAAGAGAAAGAACGGACAAGGAAAGCAAAGTAATTAGGGGTCATGGAGGGAGCAGCTGACACCAACAGACAGAGATGAACCTCAACGCCCAAAGCAGACTGCAGGACCCAGGTGTGCCACACACAGAGCTACAGCAGCACACCTGTTGGGTCAACATAGCACATGCTGAAAGCCCCTCATCCAAAATGCTCAAGATAGAAGCACTCCGGATTTGGGATTTTTTCAAATTTTGGAATATCTACATTACGTCTGGTGAGCATCCCTCATCTGAATATCCAAAATCACAAGAGCAGGATTTCCTCTGGATGTTACATCAGCACCAAGAAAGTGTTGGAATTCTGGATTTCAGATTTTCAGGTTGGGGATGCTCAGCCTACAATTTATACCAAATTAAAAAGGGCAAAGCAAGCAGACACAAAAACCTGCCTTGCCTGTATGAAGAGCAGAAGTCTAAAACAACAAAAACCTATCCTAACATGAAAAGAGACAGGGGATACTCATAGGGGACATGGAGGGGCCAAGCACAGCCGAGGAGAGCGCTCTGGCCACTCTCTCCAGTGACTCCAGAAGAGGACACCCAGATCACCAGGGCAGACCCGCAGTGCAGGGAGACACTTTCAGAAGTTGAAGTTGGCTGTTACAGGGCAACTTCTCTAAAAGTAAATTCATAGCGCACGGGGCAGTGACATTTGATTCTGTCATATCACACAAACCTCTACATTTGCACCCACATGTTCAGACCTCTAGATAAATGATTTGTGTCATGTTAAATAGAGGCCATCCGGGAAAATGTGTTCAGTACATTAAGAAACCAGGAGCACCTCATACTCACTGAAACTAAAGCTATTCTCACCACTAAAAGCACTTGCCTTCTGCCAGCTTGAAACCCTGTCAGTGCACAATCACTCACGGCATGTCTGAGCAGTCAGATCACCCAAGGCTGCTGCATGTCACCGAAACTCCTCTAAGCTGCCTTCCTAGTTATTTACTTAAAGCAAATTTTTAAACATGCATAAAAGATGTACAGAGTTTTGGGGAACTGTGATAATTTCACTCAAGCGCCCTCCTAGTGAAGACTTTTTTGTGTGGTACATAAAAGGAAGCAGGTCAGCTAGGTGCAGAGGCTCATGCCTTTAATCCCAGCACTTTGGGAGGAAGAGGTGAGAGAATTGCCTGAGCCCACGGATTCAAGACCAGACTGGAATAAAAAAATTAGCCAAGCATGGTGGCACATGCCTGTAGCTCCAGCTACTTGGAAGGCTGAAGCAGAAATCGGATTGCCTGAGTCCAGCAACAGAGTGAGACTCTGACTCAAAAAAATAAAAAGGTAAGCCTCCCAGATCACTGCGCATAATTACAAGTGTGGCTACTTCATGAAAGAACAAGGTCACAGTGTCATGCTGTCTGGAAACACTCTTTTTCTTTTTCTTTTTTTTTTTTGA